TCTGTCTGGATTATGTATTTTTATTAATTTTTAAAAGTCATAAATACTTAATAGCCTTTTTTTGTGTTTTCTCCTCCCTGGTGCTCGGCAGAAGTTCTATTAGCTCTTTGGTTGTTTTAACTTTTATAATGCAGGACGAGGCTGTTAATCAGAGAGTGTGAATATAGCTTGTGTTCTTATCCCGTAAGATTCCTATATATAGTTATATACATTTAAAACACACCATAATAAAGACGGCCTTGCGACCCTCTGTGAAGCTTTGGCGACACCTGGTGAGGGTTGGGATCAGTGGCATAGAATAATGTATTTTTAGGTATATTATAAGATTGATAGTCCAAATTTAACTGGTCCCTCACAAAAGACGGAGTAGTTTTTGGTTTTTCATTTGTGGTTTGTTTTATTCATCAGGGGCGGTGCAGTCCGCACATTAAGTAACATTAATTACAAGGCAAGTGTTGATTAATGGACTACTTTACATCTGCAGTGCCCGATGAGAATGTTAAAAGCCTCACACACTGCAGTGTTCATTACAGTCAGGACTCTGAACGCCTAAAGTTCAGACAAGAAATTACCCAGAACCACTGTTAGGATCTCAAAGCAATCCCCCAACATTTATAATTCATAGTTATAATATAAAGATGAAGATTAGGCAGTAAATAGCGTTTTCTCTTCCGTCAGTAAAGTAATCAATACCCCAAAGGAAGGGATTTTTTAAAAAAAGGATCCTCCATCAAACTATTGCTCTAACAAAGACAGAATCCCAATCTAGAGCTGAAAGTATTCGTCAATTAATCAATAAATTGATTAAGAGAAGATTTATTAGCGGCTATTTTGATTAATTGTTTTGTGTCAAACACTTTACAATAATTTACAATTATCTTTATGGGCGTTTTTAATTTCCTAGACAAAATAATGTATTTATTAATCCAGAAGATAATCGATAATGGACTGACAGAATATTAATTGATTGTATTAATCTACAATTAATTTGATAATGGATTAATTGTTAAAGTCAATTGTTTTTCCAGATTGAGGAGCTGCTGTTTTAAATCTATATTTATTGAATATCTTTGGATCTTTTCACCATTTTTTTATAGATTTAGACAATCAAAAGATAAATAAAGATAATAAAATAAATGTTCGCTGTAGCTTTGACTAAAATAGTTCAAGAGGAAAACCAATAAAAGACTAAATAAAATAGTTTTCTTCAGTGAAGCTCATTGATTGTGCAGATGTCTTTTTTTTCCTCCTCTGAAGTGAAATATGTGCTTGTCACAGCAGCGCGAGCATCGACTGTCTGTTCCTGTAAACGCCACGCGATACGCTGGCGGTGATGTCATCGCCCCGCGAGACTGACCAATCATTATGTCATTAAGTTATGCATATGAGTGTGTGGAGGGGAGAAGGGGGGAGGGAGGGAGGGGGCTGTTAACATGCAAACAGAGCCCTTAAATCAATAGAGACAGTGCCCCCTCCTCCCCCTCCTCCTCTTCCTCCTCTGAGCTGTGAATGGTGAACTCTCTGTGGATCAGACTGTCACCGACCCTGCATGCGCTGCTTCGACAGGCACAAATCATTTACATTCTGGGTCGAGAGAGAGATTGAAAAGGTTATCGCACATACGCAGCAGGTCATTTATGGTGGGTTGTAATAATGTGAGTCAGTGGTTCTCAGCCAAGTGATGACCACTCGTGACTCACGCAGGGCGGTGAGTTTTTTATTCATGTTTCAAACTGTCCGATCCATTGGTCCACCGAGCTTATCCATCTATGCTTTTATCAATGTACAGTTGTAAATTGCAGAACAATAACATTAAACTCTCAACAACAAGGAGGAGTCATCGCCGAGAGGAAGAAACAGTCCAAAGGGTCCAAAACTGAAGCTGCTACGACTCAGCTCTTTTTCTACACCGTGTTCAGACTCAGAGATAATAAAACCTGTGTGGGCCTACTTTTTCCCACACAGAAAATTGATCAGGAATCAATAAGGGAATCGACAAAGAATCTGACTGATAATGAGAATTGATAATGGTGTTGGTATCAGTAACATCTCCTCAGTTCCTGTCTTTAACTGCACTACTTCCTGAGAACAATCTCACATCCCACAAAATCAGCTCTGACAACCATCTCATGGCCATTATCCTTTAAACTTATTTTAAGTCCCACACTCAGTACTGCACCTGAACACATCCCGAGTAGACACAGACTGACTCACACTTCCTGTGAAGACATGGTGTAAAGCCCACATCACGGACGCTGCTGCTGTAAAGACGCTGCCTTCTAACCGATGAGCTGTTATGTGGAGAATTTCTACAGTTCGGCAAACAAGCCTCTTCACAAACAGAGAATGTGTCGCAACATTTTACAACGCTTAAAAATAGCTTCTACAGAGAGTGTGGCAGAGGAGTTAATGAGACAATGAGCTGATGAAGAAACAGAGACAGCATCCATTGTGTATCCAAGTGTGTTTCCAGGTGCTCATAGTTGCACTGTGGGTAATGTAGGCAGCAGGAAGAAGAATGTGTGGAATAAAAAAAGGCTATCTCTGGTTCTGCTGCATTGATTTTGAGTGTGAATGCGTATTCTTTAAGCTTCCTTAACATACTCTCGAACAAGTGTGCCGTAACTTATAAACCGGGGCCGTCCAAACACACACCAACACACTGTCCTGATGCAATATATGTATACATGGACTCCATCTCTGAGTCCTTGTCACACTCAAGCTTTCCTGTGTTATATATCATCCTGTATTTTAGTATTTCGTAAGTAATCTGTTGTGGAAATGAGGATTTGGGATTATAGGGACACTGTGGCACTGTGGCTTTAAGTCTGATGCAGAAAACCAGTCAAACTTTTCATGTTTCAGTTCAATGCACACAATTGGTCAGCGGACAGAAAGTCGTTAGAGCTTCTGCATTAATTACTTGCTGCTCCTTTAAACTCTGGTTCAGACTAACAGCTGGAAATGCACAGACTCGGTTATTATGGATCGACACGATTAATTCAGTGGCAGAGAGCTCAGAGAGAGAAAAAGGGAGAATAGAGAGAGTAAATCACTGGGGGAGAAGACTTTCCTGTGATTGTTAGTATTAGTTTGTGAGTGTGAACAACAGAAGGAATTAATTTTCCAAAGATGGAGAGGTAAGAGGAAGGAGGAAGGAGTTGGTGATAATTCTGTATCTTTTTACTATAATTTCGAACTAATTGTGATTAAAAATGAACAAAACAAGACTTGTTTAAGTTTCTGATTTGACAATTTGTTGCACAGATTATCAATTACACTTATTTGTACTCATATTGTGATCTTGCTTTAACGCCACCAAAGTTGAAACCCAATCCTTTTTAGTTTTAGTTTACTTTAGTCTGCACACTACATATACCTTATTCTAATATGCTTCTGCTTCCTTTATCAAGTTATGATATAAAGTTTATTGTTTATTTATCCTTAGATCATCTCCATTATTACAGTATTGAACACAATCAGTATGATTCGTATTGTTTAAACAGTGTCAGTGGATGTTAGACATCATCCTGTTCTCTCACTTTCTCTAATGTGTAGTGAATGCCTCGTTAGGGTGCTGTGACCTCTGACCTTCTCTGCCTCCTGCTGCTGCCGTCTCTTCTCCCCAGCGGCTGTCCTGCGCTTCTGCTCCTTCCTCCTCTGCTCCTCCATCTTCCTCCCTCGCTCCTCGGCGCAGCGATCCAGCTGCTGCTGTGTACGACGCTCCTTATCCCGCAGCGCCTCTGAGATATCTGAACAAACACCGTCAAACTCCGTCAGAGGTCCTCAGATACTTAAATACCAATATTATTATCAGGCACGGGTTCTTTATTAAAGTATTTTCTCTTTTTTGGGGAGATTTTCTACTGTTTCCCCACTAACTTTAAGGTGGTAAACATTGGACTTGTTACACTACATGGCTGGATGGAACCGCTAGGATCCCTGGCCTGTACGTTACAGCTGTGCCACAAAACTGAAATAATAAAAAGGTTTAAAAGTAGATTTTGACCAAGAGGAAGTTAAAGAAAGTTTCTTAAGATTGCATGTTAAAGCAGGACCCGCCTTAAGGCCTTTATCGTGTCAGTATCGTGGTTTAGTGGTGCAATTAAATTAGCACAAACCAGTTGACACACAGAGAGCCAGGAGCGTTGTTGCAGATTCAACACGAGAACACAGACTCTGGGTCGCATCTGAGCGTCTCTCTCTCTCTCTCTCTCTCTCTCTCTCTCTCTCTCTCTCTTCCTGTCAACTCTCGACTGTTCTCTATCTAATAACAAATCCTTAAAAAAACCTAAATGATGACTTTTCAGGTACTCAGCCTGGTTTAGGCTAACTGTCACAATAACTTGTTGAATAAAAGTGCAAATAAAACACACATTATTCTGGCTTACTGCTGGCATATTCAGGTTGAGGAGGGTCACGTAGGCCAAAGTGTAACCACGGCTAAGAGTTTACTTTGATTTAAGGAAAAACTGGAGAAAAAGATAATACATTTCTTAGTTTCTCTTCATCTTTATTCAATTAACCGATCGGAAAGCACAAAAAACTCCAGATACTTGATGAGTTTGACCTCTTATCTTTTGGAAGCAGCAGCCGACAGAACATCAACTCACGGTCCAACTTACTTGATTGCTCTGAAGCTTTTTGGCTGCATTACATTATTAAGTTTCTCATCAGCAGATTGATTTCGCTCAGTTGCCATGGAAATGTTGAAATTTCCATTATTCTGAGAGCCTGTTGACATTTCCATGGCAACTGAGCAAACCCAATCTGCTGATGAGAAACTTGTGATGCAGCCAAAAAGCTTCAGCAACAAGCAAGTAAAAAGAAAAATGTATCTTACTGCTAACTCCTTTTATAGTTACATTTAAATGTAGGACTTGTAGTAGATTATTTTCCCACAAAATTGCCAAAGTAAAGGACCTAAATAGTTCCTCCATCACAAGCAAAACCCACACACACACCCACAATGTGTCTGTGTGTGTGCCAGTGACAGATGAACAGGACAGACCACACAGAGCTCCACCAGCTGGGGAGTTACTCATACCTTGTGTCTTGTCTTCGTCATCCCGTCGCTCTTTTGCTAAATTCCTCCGGGAGCCTTTGAGACAGGTGAAGGAAATATTAACAGACCAGTTCAGCTGTGAGTTAGATGCTCGACCGGTGTAAGTTAAATCATTAAATCCCTGTTAAAAGAAGCATTTCCTCACAACTCCAGGGTAGAAAACATAAAAACATTGAGACAAAACACCCAAAAACTACTAGAGAGGATCATTAGCGGTCGATAACACCACACCACATCACATATTAAATGTATTCTGCCCCCCTGGATTATGAAGATAACTGCAGCACATTAAAGAGGGTGAACGTGATTACAGTTTTTACCTGAAGGGCTGCTGTTATTGGACAGTGAGCGGGAAGGAGAAGAATTCCTACTGTTGCTCAGCGGTGCCGGAGGAGGAGCCAGCGCTGTGTGAGAACAGACGTGATTCACGTGGGCCAAAAGGCAAATACAGCTGAAAACATGTAAAGCTGGAGAGTTTGTGAACGTGACTCCTGCTGTTATCAATACAGAGAGTTATCACACAGGTCATAGCGTCCAATAAATCTCCTGTCAGTCAGTGCGGGACCCCTGAGTGTAACCTTCAGCCCTTTAGCTGTTATGTTTCAGTCTTTAAATCTGTCAAGCTGACATGAAATAGGACAGACATTGGTCAACGTCTCAACACATATTCACACACACAGTAATTAGATATGCAAATACGTGCAAATCTGAGGTCCCGTGGGTTTTCACTGCTTCATCACATGCAGAAATAATTAAAAAATCAGCCGAATCACATGTTTTAAAGGCGATAACAGCTTCTTACAGTTGAGGTATGTCACATATGAGCCTGTAAACAGGGACGCAGTGGAAGGTTTAAATAATAAAATGTATTATAGGATACATATATATATGTTCATAACATATTAACAATATATTATATATTAGGAAATGTACTGATCAGGCATTCCTTACTTTGTACTATTCAGATTACACATATAAAATCCAATAATTTATATACCCTGGCATGTATTACAGATTTATAAATATATATTTTATAATATATAATATGCAATAGGCTTTTCTACACTTATCCCATGTGAAAGGATGCAAACCAACAGCTGATCTATGCACATACATTTAAAAGCACAGGATGCTGAAATATTAATAATGCTCTCCATTAATGGTAAGTGTAGGCCTATGACAACATGCAGTGGAAAAAAACCTGCCTCACCCTTTTTATTGGTGAAATGATCCTTTAAAACATCAAGTACAAAGCAGTCTCACACTGTGGAGCAGACTCTTTACAGAGAAACGCGTATTATTTCAGTCTTATCTCACATATAACACATACTGACAGGGTTTATCCACCTCCTTACTGTCTGCAGGTACATTAAACACCTATTTTTAAACACATTTAATGGGAATAAAACAGTGTGGGAGCATATTTTTCCTCACCTGTCATCTCAGGGCGGCTTGAAGCCACTTCAGTCATCTCAAAGGTCGTCGAATATGTTCACCTGAGGGAGCTGACAGGAGCCAGAAACCCGCGGAAAACCTCACAGGAGACCGCCGGTGCAACACAATGACTCAGGGAAAGACGGAGGAAGATGTGATGCTGGGAGTGAGGAGCCTATGGCAGGGAGACAGAGAGGAGAGGAGGGGAGGGGGGGAGTCCATATGCCTCCTTACAGCCAGCAGAGATGTATTATTGCTGTATGGTGTGGCTATGATTGTGTGTTCACTATAACTAATGCAAAACTGTACAGCATCTGGATGTAGAAAAATAACGTTTGGATCTACTTTTTCTCCTACCTCTTAAAAAAAGAAAAAAGAAATGTCGTAAAAAGATGATTAATTGTTAAATGTGGTTTTAAATGTCTCATTTTGTCTAAAAGAGTGATTCATTTATAGACAATAAATGTGTTTATTTATTTTTTTAAAACGCAAAACCGCTTCACAGTTTGCTCATTTACATATTAATGCGCCGAACATCACTTCACGCCCGTTACGCGTCGCCTAGCAACCAGGTGTGCAGCTCCACAAAGCGCCAACGGCAGCTCGGCGGAAGGATAAACTCACAATTAATAACGTTTATATTTATAATAATAATCACATAGGTATGTTGTTGTTGTTGTTGTTGTTGTTTGTCTCCAGTCTGCAGCTCACGAAGCAGAGAGCATGAAGCAGATC